CTCTTCCTTATCCCTTCCAATATAAATATGATTGTCCATTATATCCTGCTTCTGCTTTTCTTTCACTCTTTACCTGCATCTTCTCATTTTCTCCATAACTGGTTCCGGTCTTCGTCGACCGCGTATGTTTTGATTTAAATGTTACGTAAACAAGATGTACTTTCATACACAGAAAAGGAATAAAAAAAATGCAAAAATTTTTTCTACATCAAACTTTCTACTTTAGACATCACTTTTATCTTTCTTTTGATCTGTCTTCATAATGACTTTAATGTATTGCAATTTTGATACCTTTTTGTTTTATGTGTCGTTTGATCTTTTATTCATTATCTCTTGATACCCATGGCCTGCAAACCCATCTTTGTGTATTTCTTTCTTCTCTAATCCCTTCCCATCTATATATATATATATATATATATATATACATATATATATATATGTGTGTGTGTGTGTGTGTGTGTCTGTGTGCGTATATGTGTGTGTTTGTGTGTGTGTGTGAAAATGAAATTGTTAGAAATATTCTGTATAAAAACTTTTTGTATAGACTAAAATAAGAATTGTAAAAAAGCCCCTGATATTTATATTTATTTATGACATGTATTTTTACAGCAAAATATTAAAATTAAAACTTTCTTTCTTTCAATTGGATTTTAAGTGTTTTTTTTCTTTTACTTTTTTTAGTTTAACCAGTTTCGCTTAGCTTTTCCAAAAGTTATTAACTGTTTACATCTCCACGTGTTGATATATATATATATATATATATATATATATATTCCTTTGATCTGTTTTTTCCCACGTTTTTCTCAGTTTTTCTTACGACCTAACTTTTCCCCACATCTCTCTTTCCCTTTCTCTCAGTTATCCTTTCTGCTTGATTTTATTACGTATGTTTTTCGGTCAGAAAACGCAATTGATTCCAACTCCGACAAACGGGGACTAGTGTAGATATCACACACTAATCCTTGGTATAAATGCCTAATGGTCGTACATAACAAGCCGGATAATAATATCGATATTCATTGACAATAACTCTATTTATTCTAAAGATGAAGTGGAAATAATATTTTCTAGGCAAGTGTTCTCAGTTGACATAAGAAGAAAGTTTGCAAGTTAATTTGTACGTATCTGTGTCAATAACATTGGTATTGGGTATATGGAATACAACTGTGAACTGCATAAATAAAATATTATCAGTTCATCTTATTCAAGTTAATCTGGCTATCAATGAGACGCATTTGTACGATGAGAGTTGTTTAAAACAATCCCTACTGAAAAAGTAGCAGACGTGGAAGGCGTAATCGGAAATAAAAACCTGGAAAAATCATATAAAAAAGTCACATTTAACGTTCAATCATAAAGTCATTTAAGCATTAGTAGAGGTTTATCCCTTGTTTCCTGTTCAGGGTTGGTTTCCAGTCTCTTTTAAAGTCTTCTAATTCTCTTTCACTCGCAATAGTCCATTTGCCTTTCAGTGGCATTATCGCCCTGCTTGGAGTGAATTGATTACAAAAATATTTTTCCTGAAAATGCACGTTTTGTACGAGTTGATAATGTAATTTATATGTCATTAAAATTTTCCAGAATCGATTACGTTTTATTCACTCTGTTTAAACAAAGTTAAACCATAAACCACGATACATGCGTCAGTTATATGTAATTAAATGTTTTCAAAAGGATTAAGTTTTATTCAGTATCTTTAAACAAAGGAAGGTCATAAAACAAAAAACATGTCTTATTTATATTTCATTAAATGTTGCTAAAAGTAGATGGCATTTTATTCAATTCCTTTAAACAAAAAAATATAAGAAAGAATGATTTTCGTCTACTGGCCTGAAGATTCGAGATATTTATCTTATTAAAGTCAAATATGCGCTTTTTATTATGTTGCGATAATTGTCATGTTATCGTACATTAAAATAATCAAAATGTATTTTTGTTTATTGATTTCTAACATTGAAAATGGAGGAAGCACATTATTTTCAGTACATTCCTTTTTATTTTAAGAAAGGTAAAAATGGAACGCAATCGCAGAAAAATGTGTCATTTATGGAGAAGGCACTGTAAATGCTTGAATGTGTAGAAAATGGTTTGCGCGGTTTCGTAACAGAGATTTCTCGTAGATTAGTGTCCCATGCTTAAATATACTAGTTGAAATTAATAACGATCAAATCAAGGCATGAAGATGAGATGAAAACCGAGTTTTTATTTATGTGTTGCAAAAATATTTACTTTTCATCGACCGTTCAAATTGTTTCAAAAATAGATCCTTTACATACGGCCCATTTATTTATCGTTTAAGTGATGTGGAAGTCACACTTCAAAGTAACTAACATAATCAAGTTGGTTCAAATGATTTTCAATACTTGATTTGGATATTTTGAATATCTCCTGCGCTCGTATAACATTCTTCTCAAATCATGCCTTGATTTTGATAATTTTAATGTATGATGACATGACAGTTGCCTCAATATAATAAAAAGTAATCTTTTTTTAAGAAGATGGATAAAACTAAACGCTCCTAATGACCACTTTTTAGTCAGCATATGCTTTTGCTTTGAAACAAATCCCTTCATCGGTGGCACTATCAGATATTTCCATCCTTATTCATCTGCGTCGGTAGATCTTGTTGCACATTTTTATAAACTATGGGAGTAGACAGGTTCACCTATTGTCCGGTTCACACTTCAGACTGTGTCACTTTACACAGAGATTTATCCCTCAATAGGAGTAGACAGGTTCGCCTATCACTCAATCTTTTGAACGGGAGTAGAAGTTTATCGCTTGTTTCCTGTTTAGGACCGGGTTTCCAGTTCCTTCTAAATTCTACTTCAACTCTATACTTCTAACATCTCCACCTAAACTGAAATTTATGCTTTTATTGCGTTTCCAGTTCCTTCTAGTCTTTTCCTTCCTTTTCACATCCAATAGGTACTTGCCTTAATGGCGTTACCGCCGTGCTTGGGGTTAATTTTTTTTTAATCAATTCACCCGAAGCAAGGCGATAATATGACGAAGGCGCAAGGAAATGAAAGATAATGGAAAAACTTTATAAGGGGCCAAAAACCCAATCCTAAATAGGAAACATCGGATAAACTTCTACTCCCTTTCAAAAGATTGTGTGATCATCGAACCTGTTGAGGAGAAGAAAAAATAATTAGTGAATAAAATTTCAGAGTTCAAGAGATGTTAGAAGTAGACTTTAGAAGGAACCGGAAACCCAATCCTAAACAGGAAACAAAGGATAGACCCCTACTCCTGTCCAAAAGACTGGGGAGGAATGTGAACAAGACAATAAGCAAACCTATCTACTTCTACAGAATTGATTAAAAATAACTAACAAAAGATCTTATCATCTTCTAGTCCGACGAATCAACCATTGGGCTAATCCTGTAAACAATAAGTGTGTTAATCCGATAATCTTCAATTTCCACTGGTAATCTCAAACAAGCGTAAACAACAGTATTGATCTATTAGCTTTGCTGCAAATCAGTTGGCCGAAAGCAAACGATTATCATGGTGTCATTTTAGAAGCTGATTCAAAAACAAAGATAAACTCATCGTGGCTCTTTTTTGTTTTCCTGTTTCTTTGTCTACGACTTTCAGATGCCAATTTCAATTTCAAAATATCGTTTCTTTTCTGGCCAATTCTTTGCTTTCATAACAGCAGTACAACATCATGATACCTGACTAATATAATTATAACAATCAGTTCCCCAACTTTGTATTTTGTTTGCTAATTAAAACGTAAATAAATCGCTTTGTCTTTCATTTAAAGAATATAATTTTCTCTTCTCTCAAACTGGTAGATTAATCATATGCAAACTACGGCCTGCTGGTCACATACGGTCAGTTTAGCTTTCTGAATGGTACGCTTTATTTATGGCTAAATAACGTTTATTAAAATTTTGCTTGTTTCGTTTCATTGTTACTTGTTCACTCCTACTCTTTTATACATAACCACACACACACACACAGACAATAATTAATTACGGTGTTTCTAGAATATTTAACCTTTCGTTGAAGGTAATTTTTTCACAATTATAAACCATTTGTTATTTTTACTACGGAAGATCATACGTGTAAACATCTTTTGCTTTCGTAACAGGAAACGTTCATTTTTTTTTCTTTGGAGAAGAAACATATTTTATCTTAGAAAATATATTTTTCTTATAGTCAAATGTATAAATTAGGGACGAACCACTCACAGCAGCTTGTGTTAATTTACATTGTCAACAGAGATAATACAGGGTGATTAAAAAGTAACTGCCTATTGTATGTATGATAGACTCTCCCGTCTAACTATAATTTTTACAAGACGGGAGAGTCCATCATACATAAAATAGGTAGTTACTTTTTAATCACCCTGTATTATACGAAGTCTTTAATTTTTTAATTATAGAAAATATTTTCTTCAATTAAAAAAAAACCTTTTCCCGATTTCTAAAGCATATTCTTACACGTATGATCTTCTGTAGTGGAAATGACTGACATACTTTCAACGAAGAATTACCTTGAATTTCTTTTGTCGTGCGACCCGCCTTATGATGAGTTGGTAGATGCATTAAATAATTTATTTACGCCCAGTATTGTAGGGGGCGTTGTCAGCTTGAAAATATTCGTCGGTTTCCTGTTTCTTTTAATATACACAATTTTACCGTTAATTGGGTCAATGGTTAGAATTAACCTTTAAAATAACGCGTGTAAGGTGAGAAACTATCTATCATTCTGTCAGTCAGGTGACCACAGAATGGAACATTCACCAAGCAGATAGGGCAAGTAATCCATTTCATTGATCGTTATAAATGCTATTTCTATTCAAATTAGTAATGGATATGAAGCTGATTGTGTTGCAGTTAATCAGGGAATCGGTTTATTGGGCCAAATTAAAACAAGTATTAGCTTATAAAGGACTATATCGGTGCATTTTTATATATACAGATCAAGCAAATTTGTAATCATTTTTTACGCTTGCTGTGTGTTGCCAACCCATTTAATTAGACTTACGGTCACATCACGTTGAAATACCTGTTCCTCTACGATCACCGAAGTTAAGCAACGTCGAGCTTAGTCAGTATATAGATAGGTGACCGCTTGAGAATACCAGATGCTGTAAGCTTAGATGTGCGGGTGGTGTGATGAATAATGGCTCGGAATTGTTAACTGGAGAGCCGAGCTTCAATTCCAGTTGAGTTCGTTATATTCACTTAAGTGCAAATACGCTTGGGAAAGGTATAAATCCATCTCTTTCCCCTCCAAGCTATGTGTTAATTAGTAGGACTTTTATCAGTAAATCATTATTATCGCAAAAAATTTCTTACAATGTAAAATATGTTCTGGCTTTAAATAACCTGCAAAGCGTTGGTAAGATGTAGAAAACAAACCAATTAAATAATGAATAAATTTTAAAAAATTTAATTGATACAATGTGAACATATCAAAATGGTACTTTATTTGTTGACTCATTCATTCCTTAATCAACTTCAGTCACACAATATCGAGATAGAAATAGATAGTAAATGTGTAATTATGTATTAACGCTATTTACATTGTTCGGACTGTTATCCTCATCTTTGTTGCCATATTCACGACATTTCGGCTGTTGTACGCCCCGGCTTTCTTCAGTTGATTAGAATTTTGAACCGAACCCTTTATTTCGTCCACCGGGGTAGATTGTTCTAGTTCCGCGTGCTATGACTCTTCCGGATATCGCAGTTTTAGTTATTTTCCTTTAGTCACACAACTCTTCAAGTTCTTGTTTACCTCTGCTGCAGCCAGGTATTCACAGGTATTCCTAAATCCACAACTTATTGGTTCAAGTTATTGGATTACTTCAATCAACGCTTTTATCCACTGGGCCATGTGCCCGACACGACGTGAATATGAAGACGACGTCAGAACAATGTAAATGGTATAAATAGTTACAATACCTCATCTTAGAAATATAGACAGATTTTAACATCTGTCTATATTTCTAAGATGAGGTATTGATATGTTAAAAATGGAAAATTTCATAACCATAAAAAAATACGGTGCCATGTAAACATCGTTTATTTTGTGAGAAAGTTACTCTTTTGAAATAAGTAAAAGCAATTCTCTGACACAATTCAACGCCGGTTATCCAAAATCATTTTACTGTTGAAATTTACAGTTGCACGTCAAATACAACAGAAAAAAAAAAAAAAGAAATCTCTAATGCATCAACTAACGAATTATTTTATGTAAGAAGGTAATGAATGCAGTACGTATTCTTCATTAGATTTTGTTTACATCCTGTCATTAAAGAAAATTATAATAATGCAAACGAATGCTAAGAATACCATGGACAAAACATGTGAACAACGATGAAGTTATAATAAAAATAAAAACTATAAGGAAACTGTAAGGAAACCCATATTTACGATTTCTGGGTCATATACAGTATTTTCCGGCTTAAAGGAGGCATTTTTTTTTCGTAAAAAATATCCTGAAAAATACGTGTGCGACTTCCGAGACGAATGTAAGGCAACGCCCAGGCTCAAGTAAGCTTGGACGGTCACCTAATTGGCTTGACTGATAGGGACGTGGATTTGTATGTTGAGTTATTACGCTATAATGTTAGCTATCTATCTAATTCAGCCTTTTATATGATGTAACCTCAGTACTTAGCTGTTACAAGTATTTCCAAGATTATAAACCTTCCTGGAGCTGATTCACAACCTTAAACACGCTCTGTTTACTAGCAGTGGCGGGAGCCTTTCTGCTCTTGACTAGTATGTCCTTGCCATATAAACAAAATCGGACGAGTGATTAATGTAAACAATACGTGGCGCCAGTATGTGAGATGCGCATGGTGAATGTGTTGTTGTATGAGAATGACTTCTTTTTTTCTTAGAAATTTTCTTCCAAGCCGCAGCGTCTTGTAAGCCGGAAAATACAGTCAACAGGAAAGAAAACATACCGAAGGTAGAAGAAGCAACCGAAAGAGAGAGAGAGAGAGAGAGAGAGAGAGAGAAAGAGAAAGACAAAGAGAAAGAGAAAGAGAGAGAGAGAGAAAAGAGAGAGAGAGAAATAGAGAGAGAAAGAGAGAGAGAAAGAGAAAGAAAGAGAGAGAAAGAGAGAGAAAGAGAGAGAGTAAGCTACTTAATGGTTTTTTATTAATGGAACGACAAAAGGTGGGGACAGAGATGAACCTTAAGGATTAAAAGTTACTTAGAGCAACAAAAGATGGAAAATTTTGAAGAGCTATTATTGCCATGTCCTGAAGGGACACGGCACATAAAAGAATATGAAAAAATGCTTTTGAGTTGTTGATTTTTTCGCTCTCTCTAAAAAATTACTGAATTAAAAAAAATAAACCCTGTTTTTTTTTAATCAATTAACCGGGAAAATTATTTACGCAGTAATTATAAGTCACTCAAACTGAAAATGCACATATTTAAATTCCTTATATGTTGCTTTACATAACTGGTGCAGATATTTAATTAGATCAAACGGCTCTATTTTCGTTGATTTCCAATAACTCAAGACCTGCTCTATTTATAGATCATTTATTCTTGTTTGGGACTGATGGCCGAATTTGTAAGTGCCCGAAGGTGCCTCAGTGTTGAATAACGGTTAACAGAGCAGTCTTAAAGCATGGGGCATACTGGCCAATTGCCAAGAACATAGAGACAAATTTAGTGAATATAAAGGCTAGGTGGTGTCCAGATTTGGAAGATAAAACGAAAACGAAGTGCATCCTTTACTATTGACCAAATTAAGATATTAAAAGGTACCTTTCATTCTCTAATTATTTCATATTCAATGCAAAACAAAAAGCTCGTAAAATATTTCAAAATAGAAGAATCAAAATATATTGTTCTAACCACGAACTATATCACAACGTCAATTGAAAATAATTTATCTAAGCTTAACATAAAATTTGTTACAACTACTTCTAAAACAATAAAATAATACACGACAAAATAATAAGCTAAATCTTCATGGAAGTATTTACTCTATCACCTGTAATATTTGCCAAAAGGATTACATAGGGAAAACCTCAAGGAATTTAAATAAAATATTATATGAACACAAAAGGGATCTTTTACAAGACAACACATTCAGTGAATTAGTTGCTCACTGTAATGAGTCTGATTATAATCTTGATTTAAAAAATAATTTTGATTTAAAAAATGCTACTTTAATTACGAGAGAAAGCAATTTAATAAGATGAAAATGCATAGAAAGTGCTTTAATCACTAGAACATTCGTAGTAAATTTCCGTCCAATATTTCACCTTTTTGACACATTTTCTATTATCACAATGTAGGATATTCAATAACAAAAGTGATAAAAAATATACAACTAAATGCATGTGAAATGTTCGAGATGGAAACATTTCTCTCTATTCTGGACGCACTGAACTCTGAACTGATAAATCGTTCAGACGCTAGTCCACGCATTGGAAATCTGTTTCCTTCTTCAGTCAATTGAAAATAATTGCTCCTAAGCAAAAAGTCGGAACATCTGACTAATGTGTATCACAAAAACCTTGATTATGGTGACCTTCTAAATGAATACATGCATCTCAGTCAACGTATTTTCTTAAAGTTAACGCCATAAAAGTCTCAAGAGCCACTCAAAGTAGAGGGTCATTATTAAAATGTTTATAATGAATGAGGTGTGATGTAAGTGAAAGAGGAAATGGCGGAAAGAAAAGATTATGAGTGATTAGGATGACAGATAAAAATCATCGCTAGACTTGAAGAGGTTAATATTGTAGTATTTAGGGAAGTATATGATTCTTGATGAAAACTATGAGACTCTCCTTGCATTGTACAGGAAAAATAATTTCGGGCAGTATGAAATCTGTGTTTCCCATTGTTGAAATTGTCCTCGGAGTGTTCATGCGCATGATGGTGACTAAATGTATATTCCTTTTTCAAGACTGAAACATAGAAAGAATCAGCTCCGCGGTACAATAGGGCTACAACGGCTGAACTGGATTACACGCATGTGCAAGGAAAGTGACTTTCTGAACACGACTGAATTTCAACCAATTAAAAATCATTTCTCAGCAAATTCTAGCAAACGCTTGCTTTGATTAATAATTGAGCATTCATAGTGTAATCTCTGCGTCTGTACAATGTACCAATTATCATTTATGTGTTGAAATGTTTCCGCTTGTCAAAGCTTATTGTTCAAAAGTTTCTATTAATTAATGCTTGTTGTACGGCGTTTTTTTATGTTTAAACTTTGATTTTGTTCAAAGGACCAATAAATCTATAGATTTAATTTTATTGATCGTTTAGATTTTTATTAATGTAGGTGAATGGGTACTCGCCCTAGTGCACTGTTTTACACAGCGCCTACAATACTGTCAAGACAGTCCTGGTGGTTACTAGGCTAATTTAGCAGAGCAAAGTAAATTCGACCCTCACTGGGTGCTCCGTATTTGTAACCTTTCGTTTTACTGAACTCGGTTTTCTAAATGCGTATAAATGGTTGCAGTACAGTAGATGACAATGATATCTTCGCGTTGCAAACTTCCAGCCATGAACTTTATAATCTGAAAGAGACAGGACTGTCACGTGGTTAGCGAGAGAAGAGGGAGTGGGAAAGGCAGTAAAACGCTAGGTTGATCCTGTCTCCAAAACAAATTAAGTTTGACATTTGTACTTCTAGGCTTGAAACCTTGCAAGTTCGTTTGCACGAAGATGAGTTTTTTATTTATTTATTTTTATTTTTGACCTGAGTAATGTTTAAGTCTTATTTCGGCCGAAAGCCAAAATGATTGAGAAGAAAATAGAGATGACAGATTTTTATAAAAAATTACTATATCAAGAAATAATAAATATATATATGTATATATATATATATATATATATATATATATATATATATATATATATATATATATACTATATATATATATACTATATATATATATATATATATATATTATATATATATATATATATATATATATATATATATATATATATATATATATATATATATATATATATATATATATAAATATATTGTAATTATATATATATATATATATATATATATATATTTTTAAAAAGGGATTTTTTATGTTTAACGTTGTTATTTTATAGATACAAGTATTTAAGCAAATGCTCTGTTT